GTGTGTGTGTGTGTGTGTGTGTGTGTGTGTGTGTATCTTGAAGAGATAATCACAACAAAAACAAGTTTCTGCAACTCATCTAGTGTTAGTAACTACTACTAGCAGTACTAATACTAGTACTAGTGAATAGTAATTACCAATTAGCTACCAATATCTACAAGTACTACTTGTAGATACGACTACTACTAATGATACTACTCGTACTAGCAGCCGTTGACAAACTATCAACTACAAGTCATCAACTGCAGCCGCTAGTGGCAGTAACTACTATCTACCAATAGCTAGTAATTAACCAAAATTATAAGTGACTACTTATACACTACTCATTGCAGCTACCACCAGTAGCCAACTAATAAATACAAGCAACTGTTTTCAAGACAGAGTGCCATGCCTCCTTTCGGTAGACCTTCAGAGCAGTCGAGCTTCTATTTCCCGCCAAGCGGAGAAGAACGCCTACTTCTACCAGTTGCCTCATCCGGTCGTCGGGACGGTTTCGTCCGGCAAATCACCTTTTTGCTCCCACTTCACACCAACTGACTGTCGGCCCAGTGCCGGCCTTCCATTCGGTAGGAAACACAGTCTGGCCTAGCCTCGGCCCATCGGTACTCTTGGCGCATCCCTTCCCACTCACACCAGACGTGTCGCATGTGGCAATTAATGCGAGAGGATGCAATATCACACAAACCACACATTGCCAACATCCGGTCTTCCTGTTCGCCTCTGGCCTCGCCTGACGGCTTAGCCAATCTGCTCTTGTCATTCCGCTTCGATGGTTCGTCCGGGGCCACTTATCACACACATTTGGGCGCATCCACACCTGACACCAACACCGCCCTGACAACACGGATTAAGCCACACACACACACACGCACATACCACTCTCGGCAACTTCAGCATACACATGCACGCATGGACATTCACACATTACACACACACACACACACACACACACATGCGTGTTGTGACACACCAGAGAGCCGAGTGCCGGAGCCGGTCTGACATCTTCAAGCCTCTTGACTAACTCGGCGGAGACTGTGGAAGCATCTTTCAGAGAAGGATTGACTCTTCCCCGACAAAACCCATCGAAATAGGCAACCACATCCTCTTTGGCATAATCCCTTTAACATGTGCACATACACATTGCGCATACATCTTGTCAGCTTTTACATACACATGCAGGTACTCGCATCAACATCCACACATAAACCTCATTAGTGCTGCCATTCGCATACAGATATTCTCATTCTCACCCCCCCACACACACACACATGCACACGGGCATCACAGTACAGCTGAATGCCAGTGCTGTCGATCGAGTTGCCCGACTAACACGGTTGAGGCTGTTGAAGTGTGATTCTCAGACATATTCATCTACCAAAAGATTGACTTTTCCACACTGACCCACGCAAACAGTGAAGCACAACCTTGTGTCATTCAAGCCAGACAATCACAGTTTACCACACACACACACACACAAACACAAACACACCCACATACA